GTCTCAAAGATGTTGAATGTGCTAGTGAGTCTGGTACGAACTTATCGTATGAATCCTTGCAACCAGAAATAAATCAGGGGCGTATCCAGGGGGGATCACAGGGTGCCCGTGACCCCCCTTTCAAAACCGAAAAAGCGCGAAAACCATAGATTGATATGACATGTTGACGTCATATGACGTCACAGTGACAATTTGGTATGTAAGGACCCCCCAATGAAAATCCTGGATACGCCCCTGTAAAAGACCTCGGCTGATATTTACGAATCTTCTTAGTCTTCAAAAATGTCCATATTCAGTAACAATCTTAGGACTGGAAACTAAATATTACGTCATCAAATATTGTAAATGTGGATCCTAAATGTGTCGGATATAGGAGGACGTTGAATTCTGTGAGTGGTTGTCAAAATAGAGAACAGAAACAATAATCAAGGTACGGATTCCCGCAGCAATGATTAAACACTCGTCCACCAGAATCCAGATTTTTGTTTCCGGAACTTTTGGACATAAAAATATGTGTGTTACAATAGTGTGTTAGTCCAGTCCCAGGTCATTGTTAAATTGTCGAATACACTAAGCTACAGAGTTGTCCAAGTGATGGTTATCGTGTCTTAGGTCATGTAGTTAATAAGCCAAACACGACTTTCATACTTTGCTGCTTGCGTCGGGATAAAAAAAGAGTGATCAGGCGTAATGATTATTCTTCACCGTAAAAAAGTACGTGAAATATCTTACTGACTTTTCGTCTTTAACACCGATGAAGGATTTACGTCCTAAATGTCAGTAAGTTGTTTCACCTACTTTTCTACGGTGTTAAATTTATCTATTTGCCCAACTGTTTCTTTAGAAACACCGACGCAGCTCACACTAGTTTACCGCTAGTAGCCACCATTCTTTTCTTCACTTGAATATTCCGTTTTTTAGATGTTTGCGTATATTTGCTAATGATCTGGACTTTTACACGGTGTATTATTTTGCATACTCTGTATAGAACTTTATTGAATGAACGCGCTTAATTCTTCAAACAAATACAGTTAAAGTGCACATGAACCATTTTAGAAAATCATTTTTAACAAAAGGCAAATATGATGCTAATCATTGTTTTGAAGAAAAACAAGTTTTTTGAATTTTATTTTCTGAGTTAAAGGCATTTGAAAATTGAAAATGCTAATGATGTGACGTCAAGAGAGGCTTCATTATATATGCGAACATTGAAAGAGCCGCTCAAAAGTGTATTCATGAACGCCAACTGGGAATATGATTATTCCCTACATTGCCTATGATAAATTTAATGCCATGAAACCATTTTTAAGCGACTCCTTCAAAGTTTTAAATTAGCTTACTTTGTATTCATTCTGATGATGGCGTAAGTAACGCCGAAACATGTCAAATACACCACATTTAAAAATCGTAATTGTTATTTTAAAATTACTAGCTCACAATGGTTTTTACATGTTGAGGTTGGTAATAATGCCTTGAATTCCTGGCTGTTTCTGGATGATGCAGCGCATGCAAGTTCTTCTGGACCCTTTTAGCCGCGGCAAAACAACAGTTCAACGGAGAGGGCTAAAAAGGGTGTGRGACTGGACTAATTGCTTATACGAACGTCCGTCTACATGTATAAGATATGATCCCAGATAGCTCGGATAAAGGATAATTCAACAGAGCATTACATGCTGWGATGTCATTATGTACAAAAATATTCTAATAGGAGGGGACACTATTCAACACAGAGAGGGAATACATAACGGTGACAATTGTATAGGGGGTACGTGTTATAAAATCTCTAAATTTGTGTGAACAGGGTTATTATATTTATCAGTCCTTATACCTTATATATATAAGGCGACAAATTTGTATTGATGAAATTTTTGTTTATGTCAGCAATATCACCTTGTTCCATCTGCTAGGCGTATTTGAATGCTTGTTGATGGCTTGGATTGATCAAAGTTAACAGTTGCAACATCAGACGACGACGAGGCTCCTTTCTTTTCATCACTGAATTTCACTGTAGGAGTAGGACTGGAACAAAATAATACAAATGYAATTAGTACCCAGTGTTTAAGTAGAGACACAACTAGTGTCGACACAATTACATATTAACCAAAGTGTCCATCTCCGGCTTAAATAATCCACCATCAAGTGAGGGTACTTTTAGACAACCAATCAGTACGCATTTAACAAGGCACTATAGTTAACTACATTTTGCAACGAATTTAGCGTAAGTACTTCAAGAACAATATAGGCTGAGAAAAAAACGTGAAAACTTCAAAGATGAGAATGACATAGACAAACGGCGTGCGTAGAAAGTACYCTGTACAGTCTACTAGAGTTTGAAACGAAGTCAAAGTGCATTTTACTTTTATCCCTCCTTTGACGCACAGAAAACACAACATTAGGTTGAGGAAAACTAGTTTCGTCTGTGCTTAGACCTTTTCAATTCCTTTACAACTGTTGTAATACAACAGTATTAACAGTCTAAGTAAAGACGAAACGAGTTTTCCTCAACCTAATSTTGTGCTTCCGTGCGTCAAAGGAGGGATAAAAGTATTTTGACATTTCTAAAATGAAGTTTATYAACTCCTTTAAAATCCAAGTCCAACAAATATCAAGAATTCAAAGTGAATTTATGGCAGTAATCGATATTTCTTTGACGCCTTTTCTTGCCTCTGACTTGCCGTACCTTTCATCTCAAAAAAAAAAAGATTAAGTGCGTGTATTAGCCATTAAAATTTTTTTGATATATAACGCGCGCTCTGGTTGGCTGACGATAGGTTGAGTATCARGCTCTCTCGAAGGGAATTGCTTGTACTCTGTCCTATACAATACAATAATTTATTAAGCAATCCAAAAATGGCTTTTCATGCCTWATTTACAATGGTTTCCATRTTTACAAAAAGTACAAAACTGATAAAATTACAGTGATGATTAAGAGTATAATTTCCCTATTTATAATAATTTACAATAATTATAAAAATTACAGTTATGAATGAGCTCAAAATCTTATACAGCACTCGGCTCACGCCAAAGTTCATACCTTCCAAGTTTCTGTCCTTTRCCCACAAATGCAATAATTTTCTTTTTCTTGGGTGGAGTGTACTCCTCCTGACGGTGATCTTCGATGTTGACATGAACTTCACCACCACGTGAAAGACGGTACAACTCCTTTGGTATTTCTCTACAAACATAAACATAGGCTTGATCAATGCCTAATCTTGTCTTTACTTATTGTTGTTTTTATTTTAACGTCGAGCACAAATCATGGAGAAGACAACGATACAATAGTGTGTGCTTTTACTACTATCAATACAGTGTAAATACTTCTGACTTATGAGGAAATAAGTCATATYAAATTTGAACTGACTGTATTAAGAGCATAGGTACGCAATATATACATTCAAGCTCAACTGAGTTAACATTTAACTGAAACGAATGCAGCACAGTCTATCGACCTCTTTGTCACAAACACAATAACGAACTTAGATTCGTCTGTACGATATTCATACGTGTTCTAAAATCATCGTTTTTTTTTGTTAATGCAGTCCGTTTGTAACCACATCTAATAGTGCCTCAATTGGGGGGTTCGCATCACGACTCACGGCTAAAACTTGGGCTTTTTCACGACACACGACTAATTTTTTCGAATCACGGTTAACTAGATCACTTTCAGAATTTTTTGAAATGAAAACCACGTTTATTACCTTTTTCATCGATGTAGATAGTGAGCAGGTAAGTGTGAGAGCACATAGTCCTCTTGTACGTAATATAGACACTCAGTTATTATTTTTTATCATCATTCTCAAATGCTAAATTTTGTCCATGCCCTGACTTGTCTGCAGGACCTTGTAATTACTGCCTTGTTGTCAGGTGCGATCCATTAGAATTTTGAGTGGAAGATTTAAAAAACGGACAAAATCACGGACAAAATCTCCCACCCTCCCCCTCAACCCATCAAAATTCTAATGGATCGCCACTTGGGCAAGTCCATGACAAATTTGAAATCCAAGGTTTTAATGTTTGTTTGGCAAAAACTCCAATTGGCCATTCCGAAATTCAAAAGGAGAATCGGAACGAGTTTCAAAAAAGTCCACATATCGAGAATTTAATCTCACCACATGAAAGACCACACTAAAGTTTAGTTAAATACTAACCGAGTAGAGAATGTATGTAGTTTTTTGGGACGCTGCTCAAGAGCTCCATACATTCTTTGCAATTTTTTCGAGTTTTTAAGGCTTGAAACTCTGTAATTATTAATCCTAATACA